GGAAATAACATTATGGGAGCTAGTACATAGGAAGTTTGGGACATATGTGCATGCGACCATCAGGAAGGTGGAAGGCAAACTAGATGGACCTTAATCTTTTTTTGTCTAGCATTTCTTATGTTCTTATGTTATGTTCTTAAAGTTACTCACATAATAAATTTGTAGTACCAGTTTTTTCATTTTATTTCTCTTTAATAGAATAATAGAAATTACAAAGGGGCCAATTTGGCCCATCAACAGCCTATGATGGTGCCAGCTCCCAGTCCCAATTCATTGATCCCTCTTTAAATGTTTATCCAATTCACTTTTAGCATTCTTGTAGTTTCAGTCTTGTTTGTTATTGTTGTTCAATATCAGTTGTGACCGTGGCAAAGTATTTTTTGGAGTCCCAGTTAGAAGCCAGACTTTTACCAACAGGGAGAGTGGCTGACACTTCAAATTGTCCTCTCTTTCTAGTTTTTGCATAAAATAATCTTGTCCAGAAAGAAACTGAGGTTTTTTCCAGGAAGTTGGTGTTAGCCTGACTGAGTTGTTTGCCCTCTCTCTTTTGAATTCAGAAGGTGGTGGATTCTAGCCTCAGGTTGAGAATTTGAGGCTCATAGTCTAGGATGACACTCCAATGCAGTGCAGTCCTGCGTTGTCAGAGTGCTATACTTTGGATATGTTAAGCCAAAGTCCCATCTATCTGTTCAGTTGGGTGTTAAAGACATAGAACTTTTCACATCAGGAGGAAATCCTAAGGCACTGGACAGTCCAGGGTTTGCTGGGGTTCGGGCTGAAGGGGTGGGGGGCGAAAGATGACTGAAGTGGAGGGAGTGAGTGAATAAATTGACCTTTGAGAAGGAGGACAACACTGCAGAGTTCTGGATAGATATCCACTCTACTTACAGACCTCTCCTATATGGCTAATCATCTGATTTTTATTTCCTTATGGGGGGGAATTATTTCTCATGATGTCAAATGTGATGCCTGAAAATATTCATAGTCTTATTTGTAAGACTATTTTCTTAAAATGTAAATTGTGCATTATTTTGGAAAATTCTTAAACTGTGACTTAATTGGCAAGCTAGTTCTGCAGTTCTTAAAAAGATCTCCAAAAACCCAGTTTTTAAATGAAGTTAAATTTAAGAATTTTCCAAAATACTAAATGCACACAGCACTAACATTTGCACACACACACAGCACAAGCACACACACACACACACATATATATACACACATACCTACACAACACTAGCACACTTGCTTGTCGGCCGCCCCAACTCCTCCCTCCATAGACTGCTGATCATCCAGAACTCTGCAGCCCGTATCCTCTCCCGCACGAGGCTCCGTGACCCTATCACCCCCATCCTCACCCGACTCCACTGGCTTCCCATCACACAGAGGATACAGTTCAAAATCCTGGTTCTCACCTTCAAAACCCTCCATGGTCTTGCTCCCCCCCTACCTCTGCAACCTCCTAACCCCCTACCATCCTGCTCGCTCGCTCCGCTCAGCGGGCTCCAGCCTGCTTCGCATCCCCCACCCCGCCTGCCACATTATTTGAGGGCAGGTCTTCTGCCACTCTGCCCCCACCCTCTGGAACTCCATCGCGCAGTCCCTCCGCCTCGTCCCCTCCCTTGCCCACTTCAAGTCCAATCTCAAGACCCTCCTCTTCGACCGTGTTTTCGATCTCCCTGCTTTCCCCCCCTGCCCTCCATCCTCCCTACCCCGACCCCCAGCTCGGGTCCGAAACACTGACTGTCCAGCACCTTGGGACATCCTCCTGATGTGAAAGGCACTGTACAAATGTAATTTTGTTGTTGTTGCACATACACAGCACCAGCACATACACACACATCACTCGCACATAAATATATATACACACAGCACCAGCACATAGATACACACACGCATTAGCACATACACACGCAGCACTAGCACATAGACATACACACACAGCACTAGCACATATACACACACACACACACACACAGCAGCAACAGGAAGAAGATTACATTTGTATAGCGCCTTTCACGTCGGGAGGACGTCCCAAAGCGCTGGACAGAGTACAGCATTTCAGACCCGAGCCGGGGTCAGGGGAGTCCTGTAGCTCAGTGGTTAGAGCACTCACTTTGCAAGTGAGAGACCTGAGTTCAATTCCAGGCAGAGGGCGAAACCTCGGGCAAGTTTCCTTACTCCACACACAACCCTAATAATAATCCCTCCAAAACCAAAAACAATAATAAATTGGTCATTTTCAATCCACGGCTGTTTGTGGGACATTGCTGTGCGCAATTGGCTGCCGCGTTCGCCCACAAATATACAGTCAATTCACTTTACAGTGTGTTCTGTGAAGCGCTTTGGGACATCCTCCCGACGTGAAAAGCGCTATATCAAATGCAAGGATTATTATTATTATAGGGGGGGGGAGAAGGGAGGGGAGGGATACACATAGCACTAGCACACACACACAGCACTAGCACATATACACAGCACTAGCACATACATACACACAGCACATACATACACACACACAGCACTAGAACATATACACAGCACAAGCACAAACACACAGCACTAGCACATATACACAGCACTAGCACATACATACACACAGCACATACATACACACACACACACAGCACTACCACATACACACAAACAGCACTAGTACATACACACAGCACATGCACAGCACATACACACACACACACAGCACTACAACAACAAGATTACATTTGTATAGCACCTTCCACTTCCGGAGGACGTCCCAAGGATACACATACAGCACTAGCACATACACACACACACAGCACATACACACACACAGCACTAGCACACATACAGCACTAGCACATACACACACACACAGCACATACACACACACAGCACTAGCACACATACAGCACTAGCACATACACACACACACAGCACATACACACACACAGCACATACACACATACAGCACTAGCACATACACACACACACAGCACATACACACACACACACACAGCACTAGCATACACACACAGCACTAGCACGTACACGCACAGCACTAGCACATACACACACAGCACATACACACACAGCACATACACACACACAGCACTAGCACATGCACACAAGAAATAGCACATACACACACACAGCACTAGCACATATACACACACAGCACTAGCACATATACACACACAGCACTAGCACATACACACACACACACACAGCACTAGCATACACACACACACACAGCACTAGCACATACACACACACACAGCAGATACTAGTGCTGGTGTGTGGTGTGTGTGCTCGTGCTGTGTGTGTGTGTGCTAGTGCTGTGTGTGTGTGTGTGTGCTCGTGCTGTGTGTGTGTGTGCTAGTGCTGTTTGTGTGTGCTAGTGCTGTGTGTGTGTGTGCTAGTGCTGTGTGTGTGTGTGTGTGTGCTGTGCTGTGTGTGTGCCAGTGCTGTGTGTGTGTATGTGCTGTGTGTGTGTGCGCTGTGCTGTGTGTGTGTGTGTTGTGCTGTGCTGTGTGTGTGTGTGCTAGTGCTGTGTGTGTGTGTGTGTGTGTGTGCTAGTGCTGTGTGTGTGTGTGCTAGTGCTGTGTGTGTGTGTGCTAGTGCTGTGTGTGTGTGTGTTAGTGCTGTGTGTGTGTGTGTGTGCTAGTGCTGTGTGTGTGTGTGTGTGCTAGTGCTGTGTGTGTGTGTGTGCTAGTGCTGTGTGTGTGTGTGTGCTAGTGCTGTGTTTGTGTGTGTGTATGTGCTGTGTGTGTGTGTGTGTGCTAGTGCTGTGTGTGTGCTAGTGCTGTGTGTGTGTGCTAGTGCTGTGTGTGTGTGTGTGCTAGTGCTGTGTGTGTGTGTGTGCTAGTGCTGTGTGTGTGAGAGAAAAGCAGATAAAGGCCTTTAGCACATCAGTTATTGCTCACTGACTGATTTTTCTGTTGCTAGTCACTGACTCGGAACTGATACAACCCCCCTTAATGCACACACAGACACACACGCTCACACACCACGCACATACACACACAGTCATAATAAAAATGTGAGCAGCAGCCGGTGTGTGGCGTGGGGGGTGGTGGTTGAAAAGCTGCTTTAGTTTTGTTATTTCTGTATCTGACTTGGCTTATCAAATGTAGGACTCATCTTCCTCATTTTCTTCTCTCTCCCCCGCCCCCCCTCCACCCCAGCACATCGTCGACACTGTTTGTGTAATTAATCTTGGGATTAATGTGTGGTCACAAACATAAACACACCATCACCCTGGTGTCCGTTTAGCTCCGCATAACGTAATTGACTTCCTTTGTCAATATTATGAGACGTGTTGCAAACTTGAGCACTGGAAAGGTGTAATGTTGACTTAACAATTTCACAAATGTTTTGCAACCTGTCAAAAGTGTCTAATCTTGAATGGCTGCACATACTTGAATATGTATTTTATCATGTTTACTCTTTAAAATGAATGTAACGTTTAAAAAATTGCAATAAATGGGATACATTGTACAATGCCCTTTCAAAGAGTTGAAACCGTAAGGTTTTCTAACTTTGTTTCTTGTATGGGAGTGCAGATGTAAAAAATAATGTCCATTTAATTTATTTGTTTTATATTCCCGAAGGAGCAAGATGTCTTGTGAGTCGCAGAGGGCAGATGATAGCCCCAGTACCAGTAGTGGCAGTTCAGATGGTGATCAGCGCGAAGGTTCTCAGCCAGAGCAAGAGAGAGAACAACCACAACCCAAGAAAAAAGATGCCAAAATTTCCAGCAAAACTGCAGCTAAACTTTCAACTAGCGCTAAAAGGTAGGTCTTTCTCAAAACTGATTGTTTTGTTTGATGTAGATGTACGCGCAGGAAGACAGTGATTGTCAAAATAACCATCTTTTTGTGTCTATCAGAAAAATAAAATCAGAATGGGTTTGTCACATCATAGCTGTCACAAGTCAATTTATACAACTACTTTGCACTATTTTCAGCGGGTAGCTCTATTTTTAAAATAGGAAATCATCACTTAATCTATATAGATTTGAGATTTTTTACAGCCCCCCCCCCCACCCAACAATTTTTTTACTATGAAGAATTTAAACAATTTGAATTGATGTTGGCAGGACATGGAATTGGACTAAATTATGTTCTGGGATTCTTGAAAATAAAACTGCTTTTTTTATAAAAAAAACTTTTTTGAAAGACCTCCATTCCTTTAAAGTTGATGGTCCTGGAAAGTGCTAAAACGGTGATGACTCAGTTACCAGTTATTTCATACAAATATATATTTTTCATTTCTTAAGTAGTACTTCTGCTACCCATAAGGGCTGTTATTATGCACCTGGCTTGACTGCTCAGATTAAAATTGATCATTCTCAGCCTACAATCTTACCATTTCCTAAATAGCATAGGAATCCAGCAATGGATAAATTATGCACACTGTTGCAATGATAAAGTAGTCAAGATCTGGTTTAAGGAATTGATTCTTTAATTAATCCAAACCAAACTTGAAAAGTAAATTCATCCTTCTGATTAGTTTTAATGGTGCTATAAATCAAGAGATGGACCTCTGGAGGTCAGAATTTGTTGAACTAGAATACATATCAGATAGACCTACTGCAGGGGATACCTTTTTCCTAGATGAAAGATTATGTTTTATATGTTGTTGCAGGTGTTTGATTCTGTTTTTCTGTCTGAAGTTGCTACTTCTACCTAAAATTGATAAATAATGTTAAAAATACACTCTTAATATCTACACACATCAGTTACCATATATGAAGTGTTTACTGATCTCAGTCAGATTGTTAGTGTCAAGTCTTTGTGGCAGACATTTCAATTTACAGTGCTTCTAATCGTAAATCTTCTGAATTTACATAATTGTTAAACAGAACAAAAAGCATCTATTTGTATTCTAATATGCTCTATTATAAAGCAGCAGGAACACAGATTTCACCCATAACATTTCTGTGTCAGGTGTATAGCCTTTGTGAAATAGCAAGTGGAGGCTGTGTTTTTTTCTCAAGGAAGGAGAGAGAATCATATTCTTGTACTTCTCTTCCACCATACAAACATACATGTACTATTTGCTAAATATATAGCAAACAGTATTTGGTTGAAGTTTGGGATTAGGTCAGCATTTTGTTTGGGAAAGTAATCTGTGTGGTAAATTTTAAATGTGGGATTTTTTTCGAAAAAGCTAGAATGCATTCAACTGGAAAATCTAGTTCCATATTGATAGTGAGCTTTCTTTCTTGAAGTTGCAATCACAGACGTACCTGAAATAACTGCATTGCAAATGATTCAGAATGGCGCTGTTTAGCGGCTATAAGACGCGCAGTAATGATACTGTATCTTGTTCTTTTTAAATCACTGTTGTAGTAGAGCCTAAATTTGTCGCATTTATTTCTGCCAAATTGCTTTCTGAGGCCAATCTAAAGTGGGGCAAAGCAGTGTACTTTGGTAAAATATGACCCCACAATTGCCCACATAGATTTCAAGCTGACCTAAAGCTGTTTTAAGAGAAGGGCACATAAAAAAAGATGTGCAATGTTTACTCCATTTATTATTTCAAAATGAAATCTCAATCAGTTTAATTTCAGAGGAGGAGGAGGAGGAGTGTGTAACTTGGGATTTACATAAAGTTGGTACAAAATCTTGATGCGACTAGTTTCATAATGTCCAGCATATAAATTAAAAATAATATTTATTAAAAAAAACAAATTTTATTTCAGATAAACAATCAGCATCTAAAATAGAAACATAGGCAAATGCTTTGGGTGTCGACTCTTATCTTCATTCCCTATGAGCTCTGAGATAAAGTCATGAAAGATTTAATTTTGAAATATGAACAGTAAAAGTTGCAGGCTTTCTTTTTCATATTTACATGTCTCCCAGGAATTACTTTTCTTGGCATCTGTATGGGAATATGTTTTGTCAAGAAGACCATCCTACTACTCTTCTCCACTGTGTTTTAATCTCATGAAGCAATTTGGTTAAATGATTGTAATAAATGTGATTTTAAGCTGTACTATAAATAGTGTAACTCCGGGTTCCTGTTTATAGAGTACCAGCTCTAGTGTTGCTTTGAAATTCATGGCCAGATTTGATTTAAGGGTTTTACACTAAAAAATTATTCTGAAATTCAGACCATGCTTTAGTACAAAATTTAGACTACATTCTGCTCCCATTGTGCGGTAACACTTTTTGGTATTGATAAAGTTAGAAAACCGTTCTCTTGTTAAAGTCTCCTCTCTTGGTTGTAGCACAACAATTTAAATCAGTACTAACTGCTTGAAATTTTATGCATTCTCACGTACTGCCAAAATGCAGGGTGAAAGGTTAACCTAATATTTTTGTACTCTCTAATTGCTGTCAAAATGTGTGGATGGTGTCCATCTTTCTGATTCTTCTGTGTGGTTTTATCAGTTCACCAAAAATGAAAATTGTTCAGCTCCAAAATTTGCCCGAATTTAACACTATTTGGGAGTGTTGATTGTAGCTCCCTACTGCTGGTGTAGAGGGAGGAGAATCGAGATTCCATTGATAGACTACCATCAAACCCAAAAATGCTAGCATTGCCAAATGTCCCCCTCAATTAAAATTCGCAGTAAAATACTATCCATTACAGTGCAAAGAGTGTTGCCTTTTCAACATTTTCTTTCCTGAATGCCGCTTCTGTTTTAGGCTAATTTTGTAACACATGTACTAAAGACAACCTAATATCTCTCTTTAAACTATTTAAACTCGCAGCGCCTTGGGATGTCCTCCTGACGTGAAAGGCGCTTTATAAATGGAATCTTGTTGTTGTTGTTGTTGTTGTAAACTATTAATCTATGAAAAATGGTGATCCTCTTCCTGTCTTGTTTACACATGTCCCAGAGAACAATATACCTTAACTTGGTTGAAATGCAAATAAGAGTTGAAGAAGTGAATGAAATAAAGAGAAACATTAATTTCACACTGTTCTAGAATGTTCCTGCTGTGCAAGTTACCTTTCATTTAATCAAAGAAAAGTAAATGTATTTATTTTATATGAAATATTGACAGTTAGTCTTATCACCATTGAAATGTAAAAATCTTATGGAATCTGATAAAATCNTTTTTTGTGTTTAAGGGCACTCAATATAAACTTCTGTTAAAAGCTGTTATGTGAGCACAGGAACCATTGCATGAATTTTTCACACATATTTCTTGACAGAAGATTATGAAGGGCCAATTTTAAGTGTGTCATCTTCGCTCAGTTATAACACTCTTGATTCTGGGTCAGAAAGTTGTGGGTTCATGTCACATCAGTGCTTTGAGCTCCCTGTCTAAAGATCCCATCATGATATCCTGGCCAACAATTCTCCAGAAAACTGGTCATTCACTTCATGGGTGCTGCGTTTTCCTTCAAATGCATAGTTGCTACACAAGACAACGATTACTTATGAAGCACTTTAAGACTTCTTGTCTCTTTTGGACTTCATAAGTGCTATATCAAATGCAAGGATTATTTATTATTACAACAACTCATTTTAACTGCACAAAAATCTGTTATACAGCTAGGTATGACAGCTGGTGTGATCTGTGTTTGCTGTAAAAAAATATCCCATGCAGCTACGATATAAGTTTGCTTGAAATCCAGTGACAAGAGAACTAAGGATTAAATAAATAAACTGCTGTGCGCAATTGGCTGCCGCATTTCGCCCACAAATTGACAGTCAATTCCCTTTACAGTCTATTCTTTGAAGTGCTTTGAGAAGTCTAGAAGACATGAAAAGCGCTTTTCTCAAATGCAAGGATTATTATAATTATAAATATCTATTTTTCTTGCTAACACTGTATTCCCTCAGTCATGCATCAGGTCTCTGGTTATCCAACCCCTTCTGTTTGCTTGACCATGACGCTGAAACTTAATTTTTCATCTGGGTAGTGTTTTGGTTTTCAAAAAAATAAACACAATCTTCAAATGATTCTTTGTATCCATATAAATCAACACAGTAGTAAACACAACGATGGCCAAGTGTTGCCTTCAACAAGGACGATTAATGGTTGAGGCAGAATTCATATTAAGGAATAAAATAAATATCACAATATATATTTTTGAATCGGAAAAGGAGAAGAGTATTGGGGAAAAGGCAGGGAAATTGAACTTAATGGACAACTATTTCAGAGAGCCAGCACAAACACATGGTATTGAATGGCCTTTTCTGCCACTATTTGTTTCTTCTGGGAAATGATACATTGTACACACCTGCATGAAGCCCTGAAAACTGGATACCTTTTGCTCACTGTCAGGTATCAATACGTGGTCCATTGTGGTAGAATTGCTTACACAGCAGATTTCTCTTTAACTACAAGCACTGAGTTTAGGCTAACTTTGAAATCTGTGGGAATCATCCATCTTTGTGGCATAGCATGTGATTTTGCAGTTGTATTTTCACTGTGTTCAGTTTTTCCCTCTGCTCTCACCATCAGCATCCAGTCCAGTAGATTGTTTTCTAATCTGCCCAGTTTCCCTTTGGACTATGATGAATGCTTGTGAAGATTTTGACCTTTTCCATTGGCTAGTCTCACATACTTGATTTGTTCATTTGTTAGGAGGTCACAGAAATGGGGTCGGGCAAAACCATTGAGGGCTTTGTAGGTGAGTTCAAAATCCTGGTCCTCTAAAGGATAGGGAGCCAACGGAGTTGGGCGAGAATGGGGGAGAGATGGGGTCACGGAGTTTGGTACGGAGAGGACACGAGCTGCAGAGTTCTGGATTATCTGCAGCCTGTGGAGGGAGGAGTTGGGAAGGCCGACAAGCAGCGCGTTTGCATAGTTGAGCCTGGAGGTGGTGAAGGCATGAACAAGAGTTTCAGGGCCTGAGGGGTGAGATAGTGGCAGAGTTGGGCGATGTTATGGAGGTGAGGGAAGGCAGAGCGAGTCATGGCTTGAATGTGGGGGAGAAAAAACAGTTGAGGGTCGAACAAGACACCTCGGTTCCTGACTGGCTGGTGAGTTGTAGTGTGCAACCATGGAGGTTGATGCTGCCAGAGCCTGAAGTGCTGAGGCGCTGGCGCGAGACAATCAGGAGGGCCTCAGTCTTGCTCACATTCAACTGTAGGAAATTTGCCCTCATCCAGGACTTAATAATAATAATAATAATAATCCTTGCATTTGATATAGCGCTTTTCACATCGGGAGGACGTCCCAAAGTGCTTCACAGAACACACTGTAAAGTGAATTGACTGTATATTTGTGGGCGAATGCGGCAGCCAATTGCGCACAGCAATGTCCCACAAACAGTCATAGACTGAAAACGACCAATTTATTATTGTTTTTGGTTTTTGGAGGGATTATTATTAGGCGTGTGGAGTAAGGAAACTTGCCCAAGGTTTCGCCCTGCCGGGAATTGAACTTGATGTCTGACAGGCAGTCTGTGAGGACAGCAGTGGTCCTGGAGATGAGGTTGGAGGCAGAAAGATAGAGTTGGGTGTCATCCGCATACATGTGGAAGTTGACCCCATGTCTGCGGATGATGTCACCAAGGGGCGGCATATAGATATTAAAGAGGAGAGGGCCAAGGACAGAGACCTGGGGGACGCCAGATGTGACAGTGCGGGGGCTGGAGGAGAAACAGTTAGAGGCAACAAAGTGGAGACGGTGAGAGAAATAGGAATCTAACCAGGCAAGGGCAGGTCCGTGTAGATTAAGTAAGGAGAGGTGGTGTATGAGGATGGAGTGGTCGACCGTGTCGAAAGCGGCATACAACTCTGATATCAAAGGTGTTTACAGAGCCCCTTTATTGGGCAAATAGATGAATCAGCATACAGGTATCCAATTCCGATGAACCCCTTGTTCACTCCTGGTGCTCTATTTATATAATTTCATTCAGGATCTTTTTCTAGGTGTCCCAGCAAGTGCCTGATGTAACAGTATTATCAAGCTCTATTCACATGTTCCACTTATCTTCACTGTGCTCTAGAAAAGATCTTGATGTATCTTAAATGGATGCAGCAGATATTATATGAGTGGGTGCATATAACATGCAAAAATGCTTTTGAGTTTCAATTTTATTAAAATGTTTGAATATAATATTTATTTGCATTTTGGATCCACTCTACAGTGCAAAAATGACTTTGAAAAATGAAAACTAGGTTCACTTCTCTTCTAATGTCATATTTCAATAAATAAGTACAAGAAATTTGGATGCCTTTTGAATGCGTTTGCCATATGTTTTTCTGTAGGATTCAGAAAGAACTTGCAGAGATCACGTTGGATCCTCCTCCCAACTGCAGGTAAGAACAGTTGTTTGTTTAAAATATGTGCTTTTGTTGGATTGTTGTACAGATCATATTTCACTGAGGTAATATTTCTTCTTGGTCCTTTTGCAAGCTTGTGAAATATTAGAAGAATTGTTTGCATTGACAAGTTGTGTGATTTCCAGAATTGTATGGAAAAAAGATTGAAGTTGATGAAGTCAGCAGCAGTGAATAAAGAGTTATGTGTCTTGTTCTTGAGCATTTTTGGCACTGTTTGATTAGGATGTGCTTTCTATTTGCTATTTAAATCTTTCTTTTAAAATAAGATATGGCTAGAACTACGTTATGAACAGGGAATTCACGAGTTTGAATCAATGCTGAGTTCTCTGGTGTCAGTTGGGCTGTGTGGGAACTTAAGTTTCCCCAGGCTTGGGGAGGGGAAAACCAGCTAAGTTTCTGCTCCTGGTTGCTCTTCAGAATCCTCTACGTGTGGTGTGTGACAGTGAAGAGAGATTAGGCTTGGCTATGATTCCCTGTGCAATTGAGTGGGAACTGCTGACCTTTCTTTCCTCGCCCTTCCCCCCCTCCCACATAGCATAAGAAAATTAGGCACTGGGAGCAGAGGTATATGCCAATGGGAGAACATTTTTCAAAAAAATGGATAAACTAAATTAGAAAGTTTATCATTGTTTTAAGAAATGAGTTTTGGTTGTAACCATTTATTCACTATCTAGAAGTCTTATGTTTTATTATGGTGATCAATGCTAATATCAATGTGCTACTGTTTGACTTACTGCAGTTGACCTTTACTGTATGTTGTTCTCAAACATTACAATTTTGATTTGAAAGTTTTGATTGATTAGTTTTTCAGCATGGCATCTTTAACATGTGTGGCCTGCTGCTTGAACATATTTTGTTTCTTTCATTGAGTAACTTGAGAGCTATACGTTTCAGGTTCTTTTTATAATTGGTATTTCAACAGTAACTTTTACAAAAGGACTGCAGTGCCATGTTCTTGTCTTGTGCGTAAAATGGTTAGTAAGACATTGAGGCTTGTTTCACGTTTAAGACCTTAGAATTTAAGGGCAGTAATGTAAGTAGTATGTTTTGGCAGAATTAAGTTATGCTACTTTGATCAACATTTTAAAAATGACTTAAACTAATTATTGTTGAAGGAAATGTTTGACACCAACCTTGAAAGAGCAATCTGCTATCTGAATTCAATTACGATGAGACTCCAATGTGTAATAAACATGTTGTATTGTAATGTTTTAAAATTTTGCACATGGATTGACATTGTACTGTCATTATTCTGATTCATCCGAAACTGGATTTCAGCAGGCATAGAAAGTAGTTGAAAATCAAAATAAATGTATTGCTTTTGATTTGCATAAATGTTTCTGTTATAGAAATTAGAAATATTCCTTATTAAATAGTATGTATGAGTACGCTGAATAAAATCTAACTTGAATATAAGTAACCAGTGAAATGTGTTACTATTGATTGTGGAAGGATTGACCAAGGAAATGTTGAGCAAAATTTACAATTTGACTTTTAAGTGATGGAATATATTCTTTGATTTTTTTTCATTAAACCGCTCTGCGAATTGCATTTGTAAAGACATTATTGAAATGCGTGTTTCAGGAGTAACGATTTGTTCACACACATTTCATCTGTAAACTATAATGAGGATAAAGGAAGTCTGAATGTGATTACAAAGGAGTTACAATCAAGTGGTTCAGAGAGTCTCAAAAGCGTGAAGAATGAAAGCTGAGGTGTTTATAACTACCTTCTGCATTCTGGATGTGATTGCAGCTTTAAAATTACTGTCATGTGTATCATTCTGCTCATTATGTACTTTAGTCAGTTAGTGAGGGTATTTTTATTCAATCCTTTTTATGCTTCTGGGCAGACTAGGGAACTGTACCTGTCTCAGGTATTAATAGCTGGTGAATTATTTTTGTCCACACTAAAGGATTAACAATTGTGCCCAATAATCAGTGCAAATCTATTTTGTAACCCGTAGTTTACTACTTGATTATTTTATTGCTAAGCTATTACTGGTCATTGATATTAAAGTGGAACTAAAGTCCAAAGGGAGTATTTTCCCAAAATGCACACTAGAAATGGGGAAATAGGGAATATACGTTATATTTTTTAAAAATCCCTAATGTGAGTAATCCTTGCTTCAACACTACTTGGGTGCTGCCTCCTTCTCCTGCCTCCTTCTCCACTGAACCACTGTTACAACAACAACAACTGTTAGAAAATAAAATCAGCCAAAATCCGTTTGCAACCAGATATCTGACTGTTTTATTATTATTCGTTCGTTATTCCCCAATATCCCAATGGGTCAGACCAAAGGCCGGTACAATCAACAGATCTTATAACAGAACAATACCACCGTAGATATCTCGAGTTCAACACTGGTTTCACAGCACACAAGCTTGATTCTTCATGCTTTCAGTCTTCTTGCTTACAGCTTTCAATCTTCCATCTGATATCCTCAGTCTTAGTGTTTCCAGCTCTCAGTCTTCCATCTCCCGTACTCTTGTCTCCGCGACCTGGGACGGCCCCATCTCCCATATCCTTGTCTCCGCGACCTGGGACGGCCCCATCTCCCATATCCTTGTCTCCGCGACCTGGGATGGCCCCATCTCCCGTATCCTTGTCTCCGCGTCCCGGGACGGCCCCATCTCCCGTATCCTTGTCTCCGCGACCCGGGACGGCCCCATCTTCCGTATCCTTGTCTCCGCGTCCCGGGACGGCCCCATCTTCCGTATCCTTGTCTCCGCGTCCTGGGACGGCCCCATACAAAAGTTATGGGAACTCTTATACCGATGTTCGTCCAATCATGGTGCGGACATTAGATCACGTGGTCGAAATCATGCTGGGTTCACGTGAACACCTCATGGGGTGTACGTGCCTCAGCACACAAACATATTGTCCTTAAGACCCCTGTTATCTGATGCTTGTTATTTTGTAAGGTGGGATCATTAGTACATTCCTTTTAAGTGACTGGTTATTTCTTATCAGTATCCCGGGATGGTACCAAGGTCCTCCAGTTTAAGCAACTTGCTCATTAGCTGCTATTCTTGAGGGTTGCCTTTTGTCGGTTGGCCCTGTCAGAATCTAGCGACTTATTGCTCAGTCGAGATCCTGTGTCGACTGGTACCTTGGACCGTTACCTCTGTGGGCTTGTTGTCATTTACTGATAAGAGGTGACCCCCTGCCCCTGTCCGTTATTCTTTCAAAAACAGAGAAAAACAGATGTGTCCTATCCCATGACTGCCAGTCCAGTTGTCCCCCACACTTAACTTAAAAGTTAATCCATTCACAACATCTATTATGATTCTAGCAGTGTACAAAACGTGTATATTCTAACACAACTTTCATTTATATAGCACCCCTATCACAGGGTAGCAATGCAATGCAATACACCCCAAGCACTGTACGCCCTTCCAATGAGAAAGTTGCTATATAAATTTGTTGTTGTTGCTGCAGTTGAGTTTCAGCCTAGATTATACAAGTTCATTGTCCTGACTGGGCCTTGAACCCACAACCTTCTGACTCAGAAGCTAGACCTCTCCCAACTGACACTCAGACACCCACCAGACGCCAACATTATTCCATTTGTTGTTTTGTAGTATAGGAAGAGGTACAATTTCCAAGAATCTATATTGTAATAATCGGCACCATTAATAATGAAACTTGCTAAAATTGCTTATGCTGACTAAAACCAGGGCTGACTTTAGGAATTGGCACTTTATCACAAGAATGTTTTAATTTGATGTATTAAACTAAAGACAAGCCTTCTCAAAACTGCTATAGTTTGTGACAACATAATTGGCTATCAACTTGGCTTAGTTTGTAGCTCTTGCCTCTGAGTCAGAAGTTTGCAGGTTCAAGTCCCAACGGGACTTTGAGATTATGGTTTAGGCTGACGTTCCAATGCAATCTTGGGGATGCTGCCCTTCAGATGAGACGTTAAACAAAAGTTCTGTTTGTTCAGGTTGACAGTAAGATCCCATGACAATATTTGAAAGGTGAATGAAGTTTTTCCCAGTATCCTGGACAACAATCCTCCAGATAAAATTGATCATTGACTTCTTCGATCTGGGATATTGTGTGCAAATTAGTTGCCTGTAAGAGTGATTGAAATCAAAAGACAGCTCCAAATGTGGCAGTTCCCTGAATAAATTTGCCTACATAATAGTCACAACACTGTATTAAATCCTGTGAATTGCATTGAGACTTTTCGATGACATGTTTTGGCTCTTTTATCAAATGCAATGATATTATTACCTTCTTGAAGTTATAAAAAGAGTGAAGATTAACAGTGATTTTAAACCTTGTTAATTGGTTGGAGTATACTGTTGTAAATCAAACATCCAGACAGTAGTTTTCCAGAACTCATGGTATAGTTCCTAAAGAAAATATGAGGCAAGTGGGGAGAAATTTAAACTACGTCTAGATAACAACAACAACAACTTAGATTTATTAGCGCCCTCCACGCCGGATGGCGTCTCAGAGCGCTTTACAGTAATGGATCCCGGCCCTGACCCAGGGGATGGGGGGGAAGGTGACCAAAGGCACGGTCGAAGAGAAAGGTCTTCAGCAGAGACCTGAAAATAGGAAGAGAGGGAGCGAGATGAAGGGAGTGGGGAAGGGAGTTCCAGAGCGTCCGGGCATAGTGGCTGAAGGCACGGCCACCGAGGGTGGAGCGGAGGATTAGCTACATTCAGTGTCCAGAATTTAGCAAATTGTTAAATACTGTTTTAATTTGAAACTACAGAAAAGGGCTGCCGCTTTTGCCCACAAATATACAGTCAATTCACTTTACAGTGTGTTCTGTGAAGCGCTTTGGGACTTCCTCCCGACGTCCTTTTCACGAAAAGCGCTATATCAAATGAAAGGATTATTATTATTATTAAAACTTAAAAGTTAAGACATTTAAAAAAAATTCTGGATACTCTGAAATGTTGCCTAAAGAGTACATCTATACTTTGATGGAAATTCTCCCCATAGATTTACTA